ATTTTTAAATTTACAACAAATTTTTTTTAATTTCCGAAAATCATAAACAATCATATCGGTTACTTGGGTTTTTTAATTTTTTTATTTTATATCTTTTTGTAAAGAAAAAAACTAATTTTTTTTTCTTAATAGTCTTATGAACGTGGACTTGGCGCGCTTTTTTTACAGTGAAACTGTTTTTGTTCGGATTGTTTCTATACAGAAAATAGATAATTCAGCTCAAAAAAAATATTCTTGCGTTCAGATGACGACGGATAATTCGATTAGAGGAAATTATTTTCTTGATAATCAAATAATTTTTATTTATTAAAAAAGTCTCTTGATTTAACAAAAAGAGCTGTTTTAGTTTAAGAATAAATTTTTGAACACTAAAATCGTCTTGGTTTGAGTTAATTTTTTTATTTTAAATACAGAAAGCTAAATAATATAAAATTTGTTAATAAAAAAAATAGAAAATTTTTTTCTGTCATTTTTCATTGAAACAGACCAAAAAAAATTTCACGTAAATTCAGGTTTATACTTTCACCCATTAGGGACAAAGGCCTCAACCTCAGCTTGGTAACTCGGTAATAAAGTCATAAGTACTTTTTCCAATTACCAGCAATAGATAATAATAATAATAATAATAATAATAATATTATTATTATTATTATTATTATTATTATCATCATTAATCACTCGTATTAATGGGCCGTAAGTGCACATAATTATAAACGAATGCAAATAATAAAGTGTTACATATAACACTCAGCTTATCAAGCCAAGCTTGGACTTTCTTTTCATCAGTAACCACCAGACTAATCACATCTACACGAATCATTAAAGTATCTAATTATCTTGAGCTCAGCGATTTCTTTCATCAATCCATCATTGAATCTATTGTTTATTTTATAATAATAATTCAACGCTAAATCCCATCAACAATTATCATCGGAAAAAAAGTATAATTTCATAAAACCGGCGATAAATCTCATTGGATTATAGAAGATATACAGAATCCATACCTCTAATTATCCGCCCCCTCAAAGACTTACGAGTTCACAGGAATATAACACACATTACGCGTGGGCTGTATATATTTATAAACAGATACACGTACGATACAACTCTTGGCTCTCAACTCTCTCTTATCTACTCTCTGACATAACCTGGCTCTCTCATCCTCATCCTCATCCGTCGTTCAAGATGTTAATAACGTTAATGGGCCTCGAGGTTAACTTATCTGTCTTACGTTTTGTCCGTCGTTAATAGACGTAATAATTTTATCTCTTTCAGAATCTCGTCATCCATTTCTTATTTTTTAAATCGTATTTATTTATTTATGTGTATCACATTTTTATGAGCTATTTTATAATACAGTCACTAAAAATCATCACCGGCCATTTATCTAATGGTTCATCGCTATTGTTGTTGTGATTGTGAATTGTGAATGTATTGTAAGACTCAAATACACGCGCGACATGTGCTATTTTGTCAGCTAAATAAATCAACTCATTATAAAATTTTAAGCTGTTTTCTTTGTCCTATTCAAAAACACAAACCTATAGACTTAACTAACAATATAATGGGCCACCAAGTAGTGTTAGTCTATTCTAGAATGCTATTTTACAGTAGAAGATTAATTTTTGTGCGGGCGGTAATTACCAATTATCCTGATACTTACAGAAAGAAAGTAACGTTAAATAAATTCACAGATGCATGAGTTAGGTACTCAATTTAATATAAGAACAATATATACTTGAATGAATTTAAAAGACCCGTAATAAAATTTTTTGATATTCTATCATTATCCGACATGAAGTTTAATATGGCCTGATATAGTCTCACATGTCCATCTATAATTTTTCGATTGAAAGTAGTGTCGAAATTTTCCGACGGAGGGCGCATGATCGCTGAATCATCTCCTTGTAAGAGAGTAAAGTTTGAGACCTTACATTTTAAAATAAAATTTTTTTCGTGGGTTGTTTGAGCGTTACTATTAGATATTTTCGAATACTTTACTAATAATTGTATGTTTCAAACGCGAGCTTGAGGTATGCTCTATTATCACCTGGAATTATTGTAAATAATTAATATAATTTTACAATTTTAATATAAAACTAGGAATTAAAATTGCGCGCATATGCGCGCGTTTTCATCCTAACCAATAAGGAATCAGTAACCATTCTATCGAGATTTTCGAAGAGATTAGTATTTATTGATAAATGACGAAATGGCTGAGTTAAAAAAAAAAGAAAACCGAGAAATGAGCCGTTTTTCACAGATTTTAGACCTGAAAAAAAGTAAAAATCAAAATTTTGATTTAATTGTAGTTCGGGCCATAGCTACTACTATGTAGAATATGTAGTTCAAATTTAACTAAGCGATAATACATCACTTTATCAAAAATTATTAACGATTTTTCTCGAGCAATCAATCACTGTTAATAGTTCCCTCATCACAATTAAAATTTTTGGAGGATTTTGATCTCATTATTCCGACACTTTAATAATATAAAATATCTTGAAGTGAACTTTTATTTGTGAAGTAAATGATTAACATATTGTATTGACATAATGTTCCAGCTTTTTACATTTTTGAACATATGAGAGTGCGGTGTTACTGGTATACACTTTAATGGGTCCATAAAAGTGATAATTAGCGCGCTTCGGGAAATAAACTAGCTGACCTAGTTGACGTGTCCCTTGCAAAAGGTACGAAACATATATGAACGATATTTTTTTCACTATAAGTTGCGGTTGTCATAGGCAACTAATTTAAAACAAAGTAATACGTTAGCATGCATTAAAGTCAGTCGACAACAAGATTTCAAACTATTCAGTTGCTTCCTCGTAAGTTATAAGCACATTGCAATTTTAGAGAAATAATAATAAATTCTGAAAATTTTTTTTAATTTTTCTAGTTTCTTTTAAAATCATTTATTCTAATTGGCCATCATCAACTAAACAATGCGATCTATAGAAATTATCTTATGCTGCTGTTGTGTATTTACTGGTCACTTCTCAAATGGAAGCAACATTCACACTTCAGATGTCAAAACGCGCCTTATTAATCATACGGTGAATTGATTATTTTTCTTAATTAATTTTAAATATTTGTGATCATTTTCAAAATCGTTTATTATTTTGACAGATGGAATTGATTGATAAAGGTTTCACTAATACTTCGAACCCAGTGATAATAACTTCTGATTTAGTTGATGACCAAATTGTAAGTCGAAATATTGATAATGGAAATCCGCTGATTATAATGAATGGTAATTTTAAATGTGAGAAAATCAAAGGGTATTATCCTGGCTATCCTACGTACGTCATCAAATTTGAATCTATAGAAAATCTGATGTCGCTCATTTTTAAGTTCATGTATACAACAATTTGGAGTTCAAAGTCACCGATTTTCATTCTTGACATTTCTGAAAAGTTTTATGTTGCGAAACCTTATGCAATTCTTGGATTTCTCGCACAGTTCGATATGTTGGTATCATATTACTTGCGTTATGATAACGTACAAGATTCAACCATAGTTTACACTCTAAACCCTTACACACAATACGCTCCGTTTCCTTGGAATGAAGTAACATTTGCAAACATCAAGAGTAAAACAAAGACGACACTGTACAGTTTACAGTATCCGGAAGGTAATTACTCAGTTTAATAATTATTTAAAATTAAAAAAAAAAAACAAAAACGTATAATTGTTCCATTTACTCCTTGGAACTTGAGGACAAATTCAACCATATTTCTCAGTTGTATGGTCACAATTTATTTTTTCTATTAATTTCCAGATGTAAAGGAAAACTATCAAAATATTAATTTTGATAAGACTCAGTACTTGGACGGTCATGAAATAAAAATATTAGAACTTCTTGATTTATCAAATTCAACTGGACAGTATAACCAAACAAAAATTTCTGATTACATGATAACTATCGCAGCGAACAAAGAAATTAAATTACACTCATTACCTGATTATATGAATGTTACAACGTCAATTTATACCTTAAAGAATTATTTTAACATCGATAGGATAAGATTAGGTTTTGATATCGATCTTCACAATCGTCGGTATGATGCGTTTAATAAAATGGGTCAATTAGCTGATACAAATTATAAATTGATGGATTTTGTGAAGCAGTACCAAGAAATAACCTTTTCAATTTTAACGAAAAAGACTGATTATTTGACAGTAATCAGAGAAATTACCATCGATCTTAATTTTATCTTTATCACAATGTTTGTGTTGTTACTCATCCTACTGATCATTATAATAAATAATAAATTTCACGTGAGCCAAGGACTTATGGACATTGTGAGCATGTCACTGGGCATGGGGATAATGTCACCAATCAACCGTCTCTCGATGAAGATTACTTATTTCTTTGGATTTTTATTCATTTTTGTAGTGATGCCCGAATTCCAAGGTCAGATCTCGGCAGTTTTATCACAACCAGCGCGACGTAATGTCGAAACTTTAAAGGACTTATTCGACAACAAGTATCATGTATTTTATGATGCGTATTTGATAAATGACATTATAAATGAAAAATTATGGGTGAGTGAAGAGGACCAGAAATACTTGCATTTATCAACTCGTCGCGATTTGAAAAAATGTGCGATCGAAGCCCAACATAATTCAACTATTGCTTGTATTGAAAGTACTAACTGTCAATTTAATTATGTTTTGAAGTTGAAAAATCTTTATGTATCAAAGGAAAGTGTATTCAAAAAATACTACGTGTTTTGGACAAAGAAGAACTGGGCTCTGAAGGACAAAATTGACAAAGCCCGTTCAATCCCGGTGGAAACAGGATTAATTAACCGTTTCGTTGAGAAGAAAATAAAGCAAGACTGGAGAACGATAAAGAAACTGGAGAAAATCAAAGAAGCTGAAAAGTATGAACGTGTCGACTTTGAAAACTTGGTGTTTTATTTCATTATGTTTGCGGCCATCTCGTTATGGAGTTTGATCATCTTTGGAATTGAGCTCATGGTTGGCCACATTCACTCAAAATATATGAGACAGGAAAAGGAGCGACGACTGTTCATAGAGAGATTGAGAAGACAACCACGAATTATTCTTTCCCCGGATCGGATTGTTCCGTCAACCAGCCGCGAATGATCCTAATTAAGAAAAAATCAATCAATAAATTAGTAGATGAGGTTTGTTAAATTTCACTACCAATTATCGTATTTAATCTGTGAGTAATTTTGTCTTTAGCGAGCAGTTTTCAATTTTTTAATCACTAGTGGAATCATTTTGTCTTTAAATTTTCCAGTATTAAATCGTTTAAGAACTTTTGAAGTGAAAATATAACTGATGTGTTGTGTTAATCAAAATTGTTTATCTAGAGTTTACAAATTTTTGTGTTTAGAGTATAAATATCTTAACATTTAAATTCAAATTAATATGTATACTGCTTCGTGGTATTAAAAAAATCGATGAAAAAATATTCTTTTATTCTATTACAATTATTTAGAAAATTTTTCTCTAATTTTACGGTTTTTTTTTTAACTTGATAGTTTATAATTTGAAAATTGAAACATAAGATATATACTTCACTGAAAATAATAGTGTCTTCGACATTGTAACAAAAATTCGATCAAGTGGCTAAAAGTCCCAACAATCTTCAAGTCTCCGGTGTTTTTCTTCTCTCAATTTTAGTGAGTATACAAATTTATTTTATTACTAATGCACTTGTGGGTAATAAGACCTAATTTAGGGATCATTATGATTTCAGCGCTCAAAAAAAGCAAATATTAATTATTTTTTTACACAGAAACTATTATAGATATTGATATAAATGTTATTCAGCTCAACACATACATTCTTAAACAACTCAAAAAATATTTAACACTATTTTTTTTTATGTTTTTTATATTAATAAACAACGGATGAACAGAACTTCTCCAAAAGTTGGTTTGTCGCTAACGTCCAAAATATAACTTGATAACGGCTCATCTAAAACACAAAAACCAAAATTATTTACCTTTAATATATAAGTATCTATGGCTCGAATTATGGAGATTAGTATTCATTGATAAATAACAAAATGGCTGGGTTAAGAAAAAAAGTAAAAATGAAAAATGAAAACAAAAAAACTACAAAAGTTTTTTGACTCTCTTAAGGTGGTTGTTGTGGTTAAGGCATACCGTCAGAAAATTTTAAATTTTTGTATACTTATTAAGGATATGATGACGCAATTACCCTTAAAATTTAAATTCGATTAACCACCTATAACCCGAGATGAATTCAATTAAAAATTGGATATTTAACATCGATTGCATACGCTCTCTGCAGATCTGTACCAGTATCTTAGTTATAAAAAAAAAACTAACCATTTGTTGTGCGTTTAAAAAAAAAATAAAAAAAATTTTTGACCGTCTAATTATTTATAGCTAACGGATTAAAGTTCAACAATTTATGAAAAAGTATATATCTACCCAAGTCGAAATATCAAGTGTGGTTCCAACGTCTTGAGCGTTTACAAGTGTAACTCCAACGTCTCGAGCGTTACAAACGTAACTCTAACGTCTCAGACGTTGCAAATGTAAAAATAATGTTTTAAAAGCATTACAAACATAAATTTTAAAAAGTAAAGAAAAAATTTTTCTTACAAAAAAAAGGTTTGGAAAATCCAAAAGTACACGCCTTATAATCTTATTTTCCACAATAAAATTGACTAAAATAAAATGAAAATTAATTTAGCAGATATTTGATAATTCTAACAATTTTTGTAACAATTAATTTATTACAAAAGAGGTTAGAAAAAAAAATTGACCTGTAGAAATTTTAAAAAATTAAAAACAAAATTTTTGGTTTAAAAAAATATAATAAAATAATTATTATTAAAATATATTTTATGTGCCTGACATATTATTTGACTTGATAGAAATGCACTCATATTATCCTATAAGTGCGATATAATTAAAAAAAAAAATCAATATCATTTTCGAGAAAACTGCTTTTTTTGAATTGTCGAGAGTAAAGCACTACCTCAACACTTCGCTTATGAGGCGTGCAATTTACCTCGATTATGACAAGAAGTTTGAGGAGAGTTCTTTACTTGATAAAAGTGAATCGTTTTTTCTGTCTCTATTAAATTTTTGGATTTTCGAAAACATTGCGGATTTTGACTGTATTGAAAATCTTACGTTTAATTTACGTTCTTTCTGTTTAAGAAATGAAATTTATTTTTGTAATTGCGTCTCCACGGGTACAGTCTTACGTAAAAATCATGGATTACTTAGCTACAAGCTCATATATTTTTGTGGCGCGTATAATCTCTAATTTTTTGACAATATTGTACCATGACAACTACCTTCCCGTGAAAAAATATTCTGATCAGACCTTATATGGCCTGATATGGACCGTCCATATTAGGCCTGATATGGAAATTGGCCATATCAGACTTGATATGGCCTGATCAGGGCTGATATGGCCATTTTAAGATGTAGACAACCCAGAAGGATAAATAAAATTTATCATTTCTGATTTTATTTTGTTTTTTAAAAAATATTTATAACACTAATTCGTAGTTAATATGAAATTTATTTTAGTATTTTTAGTTGTTTGTCCAACTTTATTCATAAACAGGTAAACTCTGTAATAGAGTACAAAAATTCTACTCTTTTTGGAACTTAACACTTTAAAGTCAAGTATCTAGAAAAGAACAATTCCGCGACCATGCGCTATCTACCGAAGACTTTTAATACTAGTTTCGACAGTGCGGAACATGTGATTGCTCCATGGTGAAGTCTTAGTAAGTAACTAACTAATATGTTGTCAGATTTATAATATTTCATTGATTATTTTAATTTTTTCCAAAATTTTCAAATAATTTTAATAATTCATCAATAAATAACTAAAAATTAAATTTCATGATAAAAATGTAAATAATACACACACAAAAGAGTACTTTTGTAATACACAAAAGATTTTTTCATTTAACATAATATTGCATGAAAAACAATAATAATATCAATTTCATATTGTATTTAAAAAATAAAAAAAAAAATTTACTTTTTGTAAATTTTAAACCAGATAAAAAACCGTAGCCGATTGATTCTACGACAACAGTAATTTTTTTTTTTTTAA